TGTCGGTTCTGCGGACAAACAGATTGCTGTCGATGCATGATATGTCATGCAATTCTCCCGAGTGGTCATTTGCTGGCAGATCACCGTGGGTCTTGCTTGTTATGTTGGCACATAGCGGGCAAACCAAAGTCCCACTGGAGCCCTTGAAGTCGTACATAGACTTCAAAGCTGCCTCGTCTGCAACTACAGTATGCAGTTTCGCGAAGAACATGACCCGTTCCCCGGTTGGCATGTTCAGCAAACAGCCCGACTGGAGGTTCAGGAACGATTCCGAGGAGACCAGAATGTGGGTGAGTGCAGACAGCCCGCCCTGGATCTTGTTGACCACCGAAGACCGAGTCAAGTTCAAAGGGAACCAAAGGTTTTCTTGGCATCGGCCTTCGGCGTCAAACTCGAGAAAACTGAGGTAGTACCCTTGGATCTTCCTGGTGTTGCTGGCTTTTAGTTGGTTGCCAGGACTAATCTCATCATTGTATAAAGCCATGCGCCATGGGCTGGTTGCTGTGCACGGGTACTTCGATAGCTGCCTTTGGAAAATGGACTGGCAAACATGCCATATCCATGCCATCAGGTTGAGGATCGGCAGCTCTGTCGGCACGATCTTCACCTCCTCGTCTCCAGCTGCCTTTCGGCTCTTCACCTCCACAGGTACTGTAATCTTGGCCACCAAAGGGCCATGAGGAGTCTCTGCCTCCAGCTCGGAATCCCGTGCCCTTTTGATGCCTCGCCGGGAGGCTGAGTCAAGGACTTCAGGGCATGCAGCAACTTCCTTCAGTACTGCCTCCAGAGCACTCTGGCTCACATAGTGCTTTCTGCCGATGGTAGCGAGCGACATAGATTATAAAGATGGCTGCCCGCGAGCAAAATGCCCTGCAGGCACCGGATATTAGAAGTAACAATTCTTACAACAAATATGTTTGTACATACAACGTGTGTCAACCTGTCTATAAATCCTTGTCCCCACGAAACCTTCTTCAACACAACAAAAACCTCTGGATGCACGTATGATACAATGTATGCACACGATCTACAACTAATTTCTTATAATGGCTGGACTATATCTACCAATATATAATATCACGTATATAATATATATATATATATATATATATATGTGTGTGTGTGTAAGTATGTAACATACATACATATATATATATATATACATATATATATATATATATATATATATATATATACAGGAGATATTTATACTTACAATGCAGCATCAGACCAATCTGCAAGCCGATCCGATCACTCAGGTTTACATGCTGCCTGGCAAGACACACACACATGCAGCAGAAGAGGCAACATGATGTGCATAAGTGCATGCCTGCATGATGATCTTTTCCTCCCTCTGTGCTGCAGTCGACGAGTTCCCCACTCATCGAGCCGGTCATTTGAATCGGGCAAGCAGCTATTACTTACAGAAGCAGCTGGGCCTGCAGCCTGGTGCGAATCTGCATTTGCTGCAACCATTCGGGCGAAGGCTCACCCTTTTCTTCATGGAAAGATTGGCATAGTATTCTCTGCTACCGGCCGGGGCGGCTTTGGCCTTTGCACTGGCCTTTGCACTGGCCTTTGCACTGGCCTTTGCAACGGCCTTTGCACTGGCCTTGGCACTGGCCTTGGCACTGGCCTTACTGGCTGCCTTTGCTTTGGCATGGGCTTTGGCCTTTGCCTTTGCCTTGGGCAAGCCTGCAGGCTTCTTAAGAATCCCCTTCTTCTTGTTGACTGCATCTGCAACGAGCCCAGCCTGCCTCAACACTTCTGCCTCGTCGGCCTCGTCGTTTTCAGGATCACTCATCTCCAACTGCACTGCCGGCGAGACACCAGCTGATGCATTCGTTGCCGCCACAAGTGCTGTTTGCTGGACCGATGCAGATGCCCCTGCGGGTGCCTGCTGGGTTGCTGCTGCAGGTGCCTGGGTTCCTGCTGCAGGCCCCTGGCCCATGGTGGTTGCC